GAGAGATCAAAATACTTTGGTTTGGACATTGAACCGTGAAGACCAAAAGGACATGGAAGATTCCTCTAAGGATGAGAAAGTTACCGTCAAAACCACAACTATGGATTTAACAGTAAAGGGATCAGGAGACTTTGTTGTTTTTGAAAGTCTCAATGTTCCTCATGACCAAATGGACCTGGATGTGTTTGCTTGCTCACAGGTTGTTTGAGTTACCTTTACAACCACAGCTAACTCTTTATCAACACAGACATTACAAACAGTGTCTTTACCAGTCTTCCCAAAAACATAGAGGACCTGGATGTGAAACCAAACTGTGACAGCAAGGAAATTGTGACAAATTTTGAAGAAATCTTTGAGCATCCTCTTAAGCAGAAGACAACTCAGAAAATGAAATTCAAAATGACACAGAATATTTCAACAGCGTGGATGTTAATCTTGAGCCAACCATGTACTTTTGCAAATTTTCCAACTCATTCTTCAAATGTTGGATGAATGCCACAACACATAGCATTATGAACTTCAGTATTACCAGAAGGTTTATGGCTCAGTATCCCAAAGAGATATCTGGACTTTCTATAGAGACTCCATTGTTTGTGAGGTTTTTCTTTATAGCAATGCACCATCCAGGAAGATATTTCCCCCCAGATGAAGTTTTTGCAGTTCAGAATGAAATAATTGAAACACTGAAAATGAAGGATGTGATACATCAGGACAAGCCAGGAGTCTTTTTGTTTGATATGTCACACTGTCTGACCCAATATGTCATTAACAGACTATGAGCTGTACACAGATGACTATTGTGAACAATGTCAGAAGTCTTCATGTGATATTCGTAACCTTGGTCCTGTCATTCACCTACCAAAGGAACAAAGAGACACTACAACTACTCTTCTAAACTGTTTGTGGAAAATTTTGTGACACCTGCAACTCCAACATAAAGACAGGCGAACCAAAAGAAAACTGTGACACCAGTGGAGCCATGGAGAAAGAAGGAGACCATCTCTGGTTCATCAAGTCTGATTATGATGAGTTTCATTTTATCTGTGCTGTAAACTAAGAGCTGTGACTTAGTTTGTGAGTGATGGTAACCTTCATCAGGTGAAAACTTCACATCTTGTCTAGTATTGCTTTGCTCATAGAAAAACTTCTTTTTGACAATTTGAAACATTTCTCTTTTCTTTTTCTTGTGTATTGTAGATGCTTGCTGTAATTTCTGCTATATTTGTGATTAGTGTAAATTTGACTCATAACTTTAAATGTTTACCTAATTGGAATGTTTTGTATATTTTTTTTAAATTATGCAAATGACATTTTTTGTTTCTTCTATAAAACAAATACTCAATGCAGCTTTAGATTAAGTCTGTGGTGTGAAAATGTTCAGAAAACCAAATAAATACTTTCTTGTGTCACAATACTGTTTTATTCATACTAGAATGATCAGAACCAGCCAAAACAAACTTCAAAAAGCCTCAATGAAATACCTAGAAATGAGTGGAGGAGGGAGAATGATTCAGGACTTTTTCATGTAACTCTGTCTGTTTGATATAATCCTTCAAACCTGTTGATGTTTCACACACTGTGAAAGGCGATCAACTTGACATTTACTTTGTATGAGCTTCTGAGATCCTTTCTCTTTTTTTGTTGCAGTGTTGTTGTAAGCAAATATAAGGTTACAGGAATAAAAAGGTTCTGAAGTAAGATGAAGCCTGACTGAAGATTTATTTTATGTTTAGTCACTCAGTGTTCACATACCCAACTGAGACACATGAATCCATGTGCAGCTCAGCATGGGTTTTGTCCAGTTTAAATGTTAGCAGTTGAATAAAAACTGACGTCTAAGATAACTGAAGGGAGGAGTTTCTCATTTGTTTACATCCCTCGCATAAGATGGGTCAGTGGATAATCAGAACTAGCTTCAATTTGGTGCCTTTGTGAGCACGAGGGAGGAACAGGCATTCACAGAAAGCACCTGCACAGCTTAACTAAAATTAGATGTTTGTCTTTAAGGTCAAACCGCTCCATTGTTGAAGACATCCGACGTGGAGAAGGGAAGATTTATGGAGCCGAGCTGCTCAAAGACCTGCTGAAGCTCCTGCCCGATGCACAGGAGGTCTGTGTGTTTGGCCTGTGTTCACGTATGAATGGCGAAAATACTCATCAAAGACAGTTTGTCTAAAAAAAAAAAAAAAACACTATAGATTCTGCTCAGCTTCCGCTCGCTTTTTATCTTCTCTGCAGATCAAGAAACTGCAGGCTTTTAAAGGAGACCCAGACAAGCTGACACTGGTTGATTCCTTTATGTACCTCCTAATCCAGGTGCCACGGTAAGTTGGTCTCAGTGGTGGAGCGGTGCATGCAAAGGCATTTCCATCAAAAGGGAATCTGTAGTCAGCAGTTTTTGACAGATAATACATGGTTTATCCTGAAGTACTGCATGAAGATGATTTCATAACCTTTCCAGGGAGTTTGCAGGAGACTGGAAATGTTTTGCTGAATAACACAGTTCATACAGTCAACATTCCTCAATCTTATTTAATTGGTAGAAAAATCAGAAATTTATTTTGGTGTTAGTTTCCAGATGGAATGATTGGAGGAGGCAGTATAAACTTGAGGCCATGCTTAGTTCCATTGCTGCATTTATTTTAAGCTTTTTAATTAGTGACTCTCGAAATGGTTTCCTGGTCATTGCCTTCCTGCCCAATTCAGCTCAATAACAATTCTCACTTCCAACGTAGTCTGGACTTTCTCCCCTTCACTTGGATTGTCTTCTGTATATTTTCTACAACTGTTATGAAAGCAGACCTGTAACTATTTGAACCCAGTTTAAAAGGTGATTCTGCCTCATACTGATGTGAACTTTTGACTTTAATAACCTGTTAAAAACCAGACCCTTGTCCTACGCTATTTGCTTCTTCCCGAGGGTCTGGGCTCTCAGCTACTGAGAAAAAAATTGCCTCCTGGAGGCGTGGCCTGTGTTGAGGTTTAAATTTTTCCCAATCTCTAACATTTGCCTGTGACATATGCAATGCGCCAGTTTGACACTATGAAGCTTACCTGAAATTGCCTGCACTGTAAACAACCACCCTCAACTGTAAAGAGAGAAGAGCCGATTCAAACGAGGCGGCTGTTAACGTTAATTCAATATTTGGAAATGTGGCCAACATGGACTGAATGGTTTCATTTACTTCCTCTGCTGCCATTGCTAAACTACAGACAGACTGCAATTCTAAAACAGCGCAGAAACTCAACATCCTTTTAAAACTGCTCCTTCTGTTCACTGATTAGCCAGTATAAAATCTACTGGATTGAATCCAAGTGAATGGAAGAAAGACCAGACTGTGCTGGGAGTGACTTTGTTTTTTGAGTGGACTTGCACAGGAAGGCAATGGCCCGACTAGACTTTAAGGAAATTTTTTAAAATCTCAACAACAACAACACCAAAAATAAAATCTCTTTTATTATTCTGCCATTCAGCAATTATAAATATTTTTGGTTTTCATAATAGACCTAAAACAAAAATATGTTTTATCTAGCATAATCTCAGTGAGAGGAGAAAAAAAAACAGTTAAAAGGGTAAATGAATAACCAGTTTCAACTGTAGCCATCTAAAACTCAGTTCCATGTATGATAAATATTCTGTTTCCCCCAGGATTCAGTAACATTTGAAAAAACAACCAGAAGTCAATGCTCTTAAAAAAGAGATTCAGCAGCTCTCCTCTTACTGCTTTGGTTTGTAGGTTTGAAGTTCGGATTGAGGCCATGGTTCTCCGTGACGAGTTCTCACCTTGCAGCGCTGCGATGAGCCATGACATCGATGTCATCCGAGCTGCTACTGAAGGTATGATGCACATAAAATATGGCTCCGCATATTGTTTGTGCATACGCACGCTTTATACATGAGCTCAGTTTCTAACCTAACCAACATATTTCAATTTCATAAATATTCAGTCCTATTTATCTGACATATTTTTCAGTTTTAGCATTTAAATAAAAGTTTTTGACATTTTAAGTAAGCTCCATAGGTTTTCCATTTTTGCACAGTCATATTTTAACTTTCAGCTTCAATCTTTTAACGTTTGTACTAAATCAGACTGAAAAAAAATATGAATGTACATGTACAGATAAATCAGAATGTCTGAACTTGTGTTGTTATCCTTGAGCTGATGTTTTCCTCTGGAGTCTCTAATATGTTCCTGTCCTGTAGAGCTGATGAACTGTGAGGAGCTTCATGCCATCCTTCATCTGGTCCTGCAGGCTGGAAACATCATGAACGCTGTAAGAGTTTAGCCTCATTAAACACTCACATTAGTTATTAGCATGGAGCCATTCTACATATTATGTGAAATTTGTACTTTTAAATCATATTTACTCTCTGATTCGGGCCACCTTCTTTTTAACAACTTCTTTTAACCCTCCTGCTGTTTTAGTGCAACACTCAGGAGTAGTGCAGCAAATGTCATAGTCAAACAGCGGGGAAGCGGGAGGGTCATCCCATCAGACCGTCAGTTTCCGAAACAACAACAAAAAAAAAAAACTCATAAAAGCTCGGTGCGACTCCACTGGACTGCGCACAGAGTTAAAAACTCATGTGATCTAATTAACCCATCATTTTAGATGGCAGGAGGGTTAAACTTACCACATTTTAGTTTTCAGCTTTGTAAAAACATGATTTTGATGTTGTAAAGTTTTACTTGGCACTGTAAAGGTGCATGAGGAGATGCTTACTGCACAGAACAATTAGCTGTACTCATCTACAGTGTTCTGATAACATTTTGCTTGTGTTTCAGACACAGTGATCACCTTTTGCATCTGCTGAATATTTATCTGTCCACAGGGCGGCTACGCAGGAAATGCTGTTGGATTTAAGCTGTCATCTCTTCTCTCATTGGCCGACACTAAGGCCAACAAGCCGGGAATGAACCTGCTGCACTTTGTTGCTATGGTTAGTAAACCTGGAGATATAATCTATCTATCTATCTATCTATCTATCTATCTATCTATCTATCTATCTATCTATCTATCTATCTATCTATCCATCCATCCATCCATCCATCCATCCATCCATCCATCCATCCATCCATCCATCCATCCATCCATCCATCCATCCATCCATCCATCCATCTTTTTTGGTTATTTTGACCATTTCTCATTTTCTGTAAATATGTTGTTAGTATATAGAATAAAAGAACAATGTTCATTTTACTCAAACATTTACCTATGAAGAGTAAAATCAGAGAACCGATCATTTTGCTGTGTTCTCTCAATATTTTTCAAGAGCTGCATATCTATAGCACAAGTTTGATTCATATAACTTATTTTTTGTGTTTTTCTTTCAAACTGACAACATTTAAGGAGATTATTGTTGCTTTGTTTTCCTTGTTGCTGAACTTTGGCTGCTTCTTTAGATGTTTTTACTGATTTTATGGGCCGCTTCTAAGGAAACAGAAAAAATAACATACCAAACCTCAGTGACCAAGAAGTAAGGCATAAGTGTCCATCCAGCTGCAGAAAAGTCAGCATGATTCACATATAAGCTGTGCTTCATAAGTGAGCTCTGAACAATATTCTGTCCTGGTTAGGTAGATGAACTGGAGAGAAAAGCAAAGTCATGAGAAAAACTTGGAAAGACCTTCAGAAAGCCAGGAGGGTCTGGCACTCTGGAAGCTACACATAAACACAGTAGGTTTGGTTTTGTGGTGTAACTGCGACAGGAATCATGCTTCCCTAACAACAAACCCTGGATCACCAGTGAGCTACAGGAACTGTTATGTTGAGATCCATCCTTACTCCCAAAACTTTAGTCCTGCTGTAAGAGGAAGAGGAAATACCAAACACTGTGATTCCCAGAGGGATGTTTGGAGAGCAGATGGTGACCAAAAGCATTAAAGAGATAAAACTGGATCACCAAACTTACGTAGCTCCATAAAACATCCATGTGTCTTCAAAACAGCACACATCCTACTTTATCCAGCCCAGTATTCAGTGTTGTGATGTAAATTATCTGATGTTTCCCCACACAGGAGGCGAAGAAGAAGGATGAAAAGCTACTAAAGTTTCCAGAGAATCTGCAGCATGTACAGAGTGCAGCCAGGTGAACCAAAACTTCCGTCTGGTGTTTGCATTTGATATTAAATACATATTTATACTCTGCCATCCAAAGGTTTTATCGATATTTAAGCTTTGCACCTGCATGATTGAAGAGTCATGAATCAGTTTTGAAGTGGTTGAATGGATTCACTGAAGAGTCTGGCCTGTGTCACATGCACATTGCGGTGCGAGTCCTTCTAGCTTCCCAAGGTCAGATGTGTGTGTTCAGTGCAGCTCCTGCACTGCAGAGGCTGCATCACTGCTGCACTCCTCCCAGCAGTCCTCCAGTTCTTAAAGTCTGAATCAAATCAACAGAACTGACTGAGGTTTGTGTTTTAACCATAAGTCAGTTCAACTCAATTCGATTCAAAAAACGTTATTTAACCCTAGCGATGCAATAACTACATAGAAAGAAAGGGTAATATGCATTAGCGAAGTCCAAATGAGGTGAGGTGAGTGAGTCCTGTGGGACGGGGCAATGGAAAAGTGTGTGAGGGGTGTGAATGTACATCTGTCGGGAATTCCTGACCTCTTTCTTGTTTCTGTGCAGAATTTCAGTTGAAAACATTGAGCTGGAGTTTTCCTCCTTATACGTCCGGATCAAATCCCTGGAGGAGAAAATCCAAGGAGAAGAGCAGCTGCAGCTGCAGCTGGAGCCCTTTCTGCAGGTGAAGCTGCTGCACTGATGTCACACAGCAGACACACACACGCACACACACACGTTTACGTGGCTATCTTTGTGAGAACTTTCCATTGACTTCATTCATTTCTACAGGCTAAACCTTAACCTTATCCTAACCCNAGATCCTGAGATACTTAAACTCCTCAACTTGGGGCAGGAGATCCTCCCCGACCTGGAGAAAGCACTCTATTCTTTTCTGGCTCATTTATTTATGCATTTATTAAGGTAGCTATGATTTTTTTACATGTCTTATTGAAATACTGAAAGAAAGAACCTTGAATACATTGAACAACAAGTTTTGCATGACATTCAACAAATTCTCTTTCGTTTGGTTTTCTCATTCAAGGTGTCAGATACACACATATCTCAGATTTTTACATGTGTGAGTTGGAAAACTGGACAAATACAAAACTTAAATGTATGCACATTTATTGACTAACATTTACAAATTTAGATGTCTATGCATTCATTTTTAATTGACAATAATCTTACCCCATACATAACTGCTTGTGTTTCCATAGCAACTAAAACAAACAAGAGCCTGATACAGGTTGTTTGACATCATCATGTTGATGAGAACCTCTATGTTCTCATCAATGATGTCATAACAGTTCAAAGAGATACAAGAATACAAGAATTCTCAGTTTGCTTCTCAACTTGGTTGGAGGTAGATCGATTCCAGAGAGACGACTTCAAACTGATTTTACAAACCATTTTAACTGTTCACCAAGTCAAGAGGATTTTTGATATTGATGGGACCTTGGATTTCTTGTTACGACGGGAGTTGAAAAGTTGTTAGGATAGAGCATAAGAGGCAAAGACGTTTTAGTAGAGAGCTCTGAGGATGAGAGATCAAAATACTTTGGTTTGGACTTTTTGGACATTGAACCGTGAAGCCCAAAAGGACATGGAAGATTCCTCTAAGGATGAGAAAGTTACCGTCAAAACCACAACTATGGATTTAACAGTAAAGGGATCAGGAGACTTTGTAGTTTTTGAAAGTTTCAATGTTCCTCATGACTAAATGGACCTGGATGTGTTTGCTTGCTCACAGGTTGTTTGAGTTACCTTTACAACCACAGCTAACTCTTTATCAACACAGACATTACAAACAGTGTCTTTACCAGTCTTCCCAAAAACATAGAGGACCTGGATGTGAAACCAAGATGTGACAGCAAGGAAATTGTGACATATTTGAAGAAATCTCTGAGGATTCATCAGCAGAAGAAAACTTAGAAGATGGAATTCAAAATGACACAGATGATTTTGACATCTTTTGAATCTTGAGCCAACCATGTAGTTTTGCAATTTTCCAACTTATTCTTCAAATGTTGGATGAATGCCACAACACACAGCATTATGAACTTGAGTAATACCTGAAGGCTTGTAGCTCAGTATCTGGACTTTTTGCAGAGACTCCATTGTTTGCAAGGTTTTTCTTTACAGCAATGCACCATCCAGGAAGATATTTTCCCCCAGATGAAGTCTTTGCAGTTCAGAATGAAATAACTGAAACACTGAAGATGAAGGATGTAGTACATCAGGACAAGCCAGGAGTCTTTTTGTTTTATATGTCACACTGTCTGACCCAATATGTCATTAACAGACTATGAGCTGTACACAGATGACTATTGTGAACAATGTCAGAAGTCTTCATGTGTTATTCGTAACCTTGGTCCTGTCATTCACCTACCAAAGGAACAAAGAGACACTAGAACTACTCTTCTAAACTGTTACATGTGTGGAAAATGTTGTGACACCTGCAACTCCAAAATAAAGACAAAATGCTTTTTCAATGACACCGATGTGATGATACTGATTCCCCCATGGTCAGACAGTCCAGATGATTTAAGATATCCTGTTATTCCTGACTCAGTCTTTGAAATTCCGGGAAAAAATGGAACTCAATCATCTGTCCTCAGTCATTTGCTGGCGACAAGGAACGACTTATGACACGAGCAGGCTTTACACTTATATGATTCACCTTTTTTACTGATTGACCAAAACAGGACCTGGGAAGAAGCCCTGAGCTACTGTAGACATAACCACAAAGAGCTGGCCTCCATCCTGGATAAACAGATGCAGAACTTTGCTGAACTGGAGGCTGAGAAAGCCAACAGTCTCTTCATATGGCTCTGCCTTCACTACGCCTCCTCTCTCCATTACTGGTTCTGTGTTGATGACAGTGATGTAGAGTTTAAACACTGGGGTCACAATGAACCAAAAGAAAACTGTGACACCAGTGGAGCCATGGAGAAAGAAGGAGACCATCTCTGGTTCATCAAGTCTGATTATGATGAGTTTCATTTTATCTGTGCTGTAAACTAAGAGCTGTGACTTAGTTTGTGAGTGATGGTAACCTTCATCAGGTGAAAACTTCACGTCTTATCTAGTATTGCTTTGCTCATAGAAAAACTTTTTTTTGACAATTTGAAACATTAAAAAACATTCTCTTTTCTTTTTCTTGTGTATTGTAGATGCTTGCTGTAATTTCTGACATATTTGTGATTAATGTAAATTTGACTCATAACTTTACATGTTTAACTAATTGGAATGTTTTATATGTTTTTTAAAAATGAAAATGACTTTTTTGTTTCTTCTATAATCTGAAATCAATAACTTTTGCAACAGTAAGACTTTTTTGTGAAGGTCTTTTTGCTTTCGACAATTGTGCCACTCAGTGTAATACTTTAGTAATGTGAAACATTTTTAAAGGTCAGGCGTTAGTTGTATACATGCTCATATTGATTTGTACATAGCAGAAGGAAGGCTTTCTGTACAGCCACCGATTTCAGCTTTCAATGCCTTTTTACACAGATTGTTTCATCGTCCTAAACTTATTCCCTGGATAATTCAAATTATTTTACCCATAATTTAAACTGTGGACTAGTTTATTTTTATGTCATTGTGGATTACCTGTGTTCTGACATCTGACATGTGAATTTAATACCAATAAAATATTAGAAACTTTTTTTTTTTTTTAACAGGGAAGTGTTACGTACATAAGAGGCAGTTCTTTATTATTTGCCACACTCACTGGCATCTCAAGGGAAGTTTTTCAACTCTAGGATTGATATAAGATTTCTGCAGTTGCTGAATGTTACTAATGGAAAAGTAAAGGTGCAGAGCTTTAAGGGAATTTGCCATTTTGCAACTAAACTCTGCTTTAGTTATGAATTAATGATGTAACTTAGTAAAAAAGAAAACTTATACTGAAACAAGCTTACTCAAGGTTAATGTTGAAGGCTATCATCGAAAAGTATTTTGTAAAAAAATAAAAATCATTCTGTTTGAAATGAAAATGACAAAGTAATGTCCTTCAGGAAGAAGATATATAACCAAGGCACATATTTTGTTGTTGCTGTTGGCAAAGGAATTCTAAACCCAGTGAGCAAAGCATGTGAAAGTAACTTCTGTTAAGATTATTATCTTTCAAATAATTATTTGAACTCAAGTTCAAATTTTACATGTGTCTTTCTGTTACCCTTACATCATCCAAAACTCAACACAAATGTGAGAACTTTTTGTGATACATTCAAAAATGTTGTGTTGTTCACTGGAAACTTCAGTTTTTTTAATAGGATTTCATTTGGCCAGATAACATAAAGAAGCTCATTACATGGAAGTAATAGGAAAATACTACATTGCCTTCAAAATGTTATTAAAAGGAAGATTATGAAATGTGTCCCTGAGGTTAGCTCAGTGAGACCAAAATCAACCTCACTCCTTACTTACTGTATTTTTAAATCTTTGTAAAAAAAAAAAAAAAAGTGAAAACCTGTATGTACAATATTCTTTCCATAAAACAAAATTACAGACCCATTCAGTAAACTAGAAAATTGTTGAAAAGTTCATTTATTTCAGGAACTATCACTCAGTGAAACACATTATATAGATTAATTGCACACAGAGCGATGTTTGAAAGCCTTTAGCTATGTTAAACATGATAACTTTCCATTAAAGTTATTTAAACATAACATTTAAAATGATAACATTACATCAGACCAATAAAAACTAAATTTTTTTTACAGAAATGTGAGCTTAATGAAAAGTATGTTTAATACTTGTTTAAAGGTTGTCCGTTTTCAAAAGGTATTTGACAAACTAACCTCAGAAAGTATATTCTAATTTATTAAATATGACAGTAATATATTCAAAGTAAATTATGCCCTCATAGCAAGAAAAGGTATGTAAAAATGCACTTGGGAGTCAAACATTTCCCTACCACGCAGTCAGTGATGCATCTTGCTTTTAATGAAAGTGGTTGTTTGCATGTTTGTGTGCTGAGCAGGTGTTGTTTCAGCCAAGTAACAGAGGCCTCTGCTTGTGCTCCTTCGCCCTTACAGAAACAGAAAATCTGATTTTCACAAACGAGATGAAAACATGAAATTACTGTCTGTAAATCCGCCCTGAAACTTAGGTGCCAATTTTGAAGACCACCAAACTGAGTTACCTTCCAATCTCAGCAGGTACCATGCACCTGCACTCTGCTTAAAGCAACGGGTGATGTCCAGACCATTACACAAACCTCCTTAGAATCAATATAAACGATGTTCCTCATGGTAAGTGTTGAATTATATAGGCGAACCTCATTAACATCGGTTTGTACAAGTGTAACTATAAATCAACAAATATGATTTCAATTTAAATTGGTTATTAATTAACTTCACACTATGATGGAATTTTTCAGAAATCCTATGAGATTCAGATTATCATAGCTGGAGATGAGTCAGTTATGATTATGGCCACAGGTGGACAGGCTGTCTCCAGTAAATGTCAACAGTCAATACTTAAATGATGAGGTTAAAAGGATTATGTAAAATATCAAGTTAAGCTGGTGCTCTTTCATACCACCTACATCTGTTTCCTTGTCCATGTTAATTATACACACTCATGAAAAACATTCTGTCCTTGTGTGTTTCAAACTGTTTCATATCCACTAAAGCTGCCTGAAGAGGGAGCGCTGCTCCCATGAGCTGAATCCTAACTGCTCCTAAGTCAGGATTTTACCAACACAGTCTTAGAAAAATCAGTTTCATATTTCAAATGAAGGTTTTCCTTAAATTTCCTGAACACGTTTCAGTGGTTCACAAGGATGTGCGAGATTTGATGTTATTGTTACAGAGTAAAGCTTCTTCAAACAAGACGGAGGCTCGTATGTCTTTTACTGAACCTTTCTGTTCAGTTTTTATTGAAGAGAAAAACGGCAACAGCTGATAACGGCAACAGCTGTTCGTAACCTAGCAACCAAAAATCAACAAAAGCAAAATAGTGACAAAACAGAACCAGATCCTGTTAAGCATTCTTCAAAATAAAAGACTTCCTCTGTTCAAATAAATCATGTCTCACACTTAAATATATTCCACTTCATATACAATCATGTTCAATACAATTAATAATAATCATCATGTAAATTATGCTTAACATATAATTGTAAATCAGTCACTTATCATGCAAAATATACTGAACATCATATAAGTGTAAAAGAGTCACAACAGTTATCATTGTGAACACGGTAAAAGTGTTTTTGCTGACCTTCATTAACCTTCATCACTGTTCTAAAGTTGTTTGACTTTATTTAATGGAAATAAATCTAAAATCTACAACCTGAAACCAATAAAAGAACTGAGTGAACATTTGAGATGAATACAATACACATACAATTCAAAATACAGTTAAAGCAGTACCACTTCTTATTGCAAATTGTTATCCAGGCAGTACAAAACAATAAAAAAAAATAAAAATAAAAAAAAAACAACAACTGAAGTCCAAACAAATCTAGAAGAAATCTCCAGCCCTCCTGTAATAACAACCAAAACATTTAACCAGGAGTTCCTGATGCATATTAGTTAGATTTTGCTGGACATCATTTATAGTCTGTTTCACACGATGAGCCTATGAAGCCATCCAGATGGTGAAGGAGATGAGCGCTGTGAGGAGGACCGTCAGCGGCGTGACGCAGCTCAGGTACAGCATGAAGCTCACGCCACACAGCGCCGTCAGGTAGGCGCTCATCCTGCTGAACACGATCTTACGTACCGTGGTGCAGAACTGTGCAAAACAGGAGACATGCAGATCACATGGGGTTAGTGCTAGAGAAGCAGTGGAGGTCATGCTGACTGTGATTGGACATGGATTAACACTAGATGGAGCTGCTTGCATCATGAATGATTTAGGTTCATTTCACTTTAACTAACATAGGTGCACTAGGTCATGTCAGAGAGTCAGATTTAAAGCATGTTCGTATTGTGAAATATGAGTCCAGTGACCATGAGGACATTTGACATCAGTCTGTATTTGAATTGGCACATGACATGGTAGGATTAGTGTAAACTCACAGAGTCGAAGCAACAATCAGGGTGATCAGAACAAAGAAGGCCTTTTAAACAAGTTGGATAGTTTTGATTTCCTATTTCTGTGTACTTTGATACTTTGAAGAAAGCTTTAAGATATTAACAGTGATGATCTTCTGTTAAAATGAATTGAACTGAATTGCAAAACTTCTTGGATTTTTTGCAAGAATATTTCTGGCAAATTAATCTCCCGAATGTAAATATAAAGACATCATGGAAGATGATTATAAACAGGATCCATTCATATTTGCATATAAACTTCTTTTCTTTCTTTTTTTTTCTTTTTTTTTGGTGAGGTAGGGAGTAGCAAACACGTTGCCAATGTGTTTGAACACCAGTTAATATAAATTCCAAAATGTATTTCATAAGCAGTATTTTAATTTGACCAATCTAAATATTGGCCTAAGTCATTTTTCTCAAAAGGATTTTTTTTTTTTTTTTTTGTTTAAATCACCTTTTGGTAATTTTTTTAAGTCAGCTCCCTGATTTAGAAAATGTTTCAAATCCCAAATATTTACTTAAATCAAAGATTTATTTCTAAAAGCATTGTCTTAGCTTGTTAGATTTGGCAGAACATCTTCCCTGCCGACAGCCATCACCATCTTCAATAACTCTTTGCATAATCTAAACTGATGAGTTAGAGCAACATTTCATTTCCTTTTGGGATTAATAAAGTATTTTTGAATTTGAATGTAAAACTGGATGTACCTGGTATGTCTGGTAGCTGATGGCCATGCCGTATCTGCAGTACATGACATAATGTTCACAGTTGTACCACAGCAAGCTGTAGGTGACGGATCCCAGCAGCTTCTCAGCCCTTCGTGCCACCTCATCCCCATCCAGCGGAGGCTGGCTGCACACTTTGTCCATGTGATTGATCAGAATGTCAGAGCCGTACGCAAAGTCCACCACAGAGTCCACTCTGACGCTGGCCACCTTGGTGATGACCCCCATCAATAGGCGGTTGTTTGTCACCATCTTGGCTATTGCAGATTTGTCTTTAGTGATGGCAGGCAGGATGTCTGGAATGAGATGAGCCACCCGGTTGTTGCCCAGGTAAATACCAAAATGTGTAAATAATGTCCGGGGCACCTCCAGCAAGTCTCCACGCTTATACAGGGACAGGTCGTACTTGGAGTCCTCCTCCTTTTTGGAGGCTGCAAAAAAAAAGTTGAGCAGCTGATACAGGAACATGATGGCAGTGTGAAGTAAACATCCTGACACCAAAGCATTTATTAAAGTTGGAAAAAGGGAGGAGCTAGAGTGTTGAGTGTCGGTGGATTAAACGCTGGTCAGTGTTCAGTGTCTTTGGTTTTGGAGGGTTGCAAAGTAAGGAGCTTTCACTAATCACTTTTCAGTGTGGTTGTTTCAAAACTGAAGCATTTTTTGGACGCATTAAGGTCAAAGATCCTAATGAGAAGCTGACTGTGACCCTTTAATCCTCATTTAAAATGTTGCATACTTTTATACTTTTATCCCTTAGACCAAATAAAGATCCTTTGTTAGTGCTAGAATAGTGAAGCTTATCTTTGTTTTATTATTATTATTATTATTATTATTATTATTATTATTATCATTATTATTATCATTATTATTATTTTCCAGCCTTTTCCTAATTTATACAAGAATAAATAACTTTTATATTTTGAATTAATTACTGTAAAATGCAACAAGTTTAGATCTTGAATTTATCCAGTTTTTTAGACACAAGCATATATTATTGCTTCAGATGTTGGCATTTTAACACCCTGTCCCGTCATCCACAGAGGAATGTGGCTGACAGAGATGCAGGAGGGTAAAAGTTTATTTTCAAATGAAAGAACAAACTTGAAGCCTGATTTCCTCTGGTGAGTGAGAAAACAATCTGCCGTCTGCTTCAGAGGATCTGCTCCAGTATTGCTCTCTGATGAAGTGAAGCTGGAACCACACACACATTCCTGCACACAGCTGTGAGGGTGTGACAGTTCTCTGTAATACATATTCATTTTGTGTGGTATAAATCAAATTGGTGTATATTGATGTTTGTAAGGTGATAATAAGAATGTTTTACAAACCATCTCTGTTTGCTGGTTGTACAGTATTGGCAGCTATTTCATGGGAGACTGTGAGAGAATGATCATCTATCATCCATCAGAGGAGAAGTTTGCATCTTATTCTACTTTTTATGAACTGTGTGATGCTGGAAGAGCTCTGGTGGAGCCAGCTGCACACTGTCCAAAAAACAGAAACAAAAACAAAACAAACAAACAAAAACAATCCATCAGTAGTAAAATCTGGTTGTTGATCATGTGACTCGTGATGAGTTTCCATTGCAGTTTTTCAATATCCATCTTGACAATCAAGAAACTGTATCAAAATAGCGCAACAACTTTTTATCAAAAACTTTGAGTTTTTTCAAAATTGGTGAGTTTCCATTAATCAAATTTACATTAATAATTTCAGTTTATGTAATACTGCCTTTCCATTGTTTGATTAGTAATCTTCTGATTATGTAGGAGGAGGAAAGGCTGCACATGCAATATGAAACATGAAGCAGACCCATACTGCAACTTTTAATGCTGGACAGTATGAAAGGTGAAACCTGTTAGGCGTTTGTCCATCGAGGTGAACTGGAGGATTCTGCTGAATAGCAAATTTGGACAGTCTCCTGTAAAAGATAATTATCATAATCATTGGTTGTGTATTTCCTCGGCTGTCTTCTCCTTGGAAAGCTTTTCCAATGTGATTGTAGGATCTCAGTTGCTGTGGTCCTTGTCTTTCACTCAAACACCTGTACGGTCCAGCAGGACCATGTCAGGGTGACTTCTGTCACATCTTTTCTGATATAGATGTGACATTATAACAGCAGCCTTCAACTTACTGAAAGGATCTTTAGAAAACGTTTTTTTTTATGTTACTTGTTCTTGAGCATGATGGACTTTTGCAGAATCTCTCTTTATCTTCCCTCTCTGTCCTTCTTTAAGTTCAGATTAGGATGTGATAGGACTGAAAAAGGGTCAGAGGGCTGAAAGCTAAAAGAAAATCATAAAATATGCTGGTTGTAATTTTTTTAAGAAGTGTTCAACCTCCCTACATATATACTAACTATTTCAGGTCATTAGAAGTGCAAATCTGGGAGAGACAAAACCTTAAAAGACTAACAGCTGAAACCGCATCTAAAGGTGGCTCCACAAAATATTGCCTCAGGGGGGCTGAATACTTTTGCACACCACACCTTTCAGTTTTGTATTTGTAAAAAATGTTTTTAGTCATATATAATTTTCTTTCCACTTCACAATTGTATAACACTTTGTGTTGATCTTCCACATAAAAGTCAAATGTCATCTATTTATATTTGTGGTTGTGACAAAATAAAAGAAGGCGTATGAATGCTATTGTGACACTGTGGTTTGAAATTTGGCTAATTTCTTCCTAGTTGCTTTGTTATTGAATTCCGATGTAATGCTTATCAGACCTTTATGATGATCAGCATCTAGACAGCAACTCAGAAGAGGAGATTGTGGATGTACATCTTTTTAATGTAGTCCTCCTTCCCAGACAAACTAAAGCATGACACTTCTGTTAATCCTGCGGGATTCACTTTCATGCTCATTGTTTTGTGTTTTGAGAAACACTGCTGTCTTTCTGAGGAGATCTTTGAAGCATTGGTTGCACCACACACTGTGCTGACCTACATTTTATTAAATCCTTTCAAAAAGGATAATTGCAAGAACTTGACTTCAGAGAGTTGCCTTTTCAATCCATGAGAAAGTCTGTTTGACCCACAAAGTCCCCCACAAAGGTGGGGGAATAACAAGTAGGTCTATATAACACTGTAGAGCCCTATCTAAGATATAGAATTAATAAATTACAGACAAATAGCAGGCAGGTTATTCTGTTTATTTAGGAGGTATGCCAACAATTCTAAAACAAACAAAAATCTCAAATAAATGTGTCTACTGTTGAACTCTAATGGTTGTGCTGGACCTTCAAATGTTTCCATTGGATGTTTTTTAGGTTGGTTCCTTTAAACTTGAGGATAAATAAACTGTTGGTATTAGGATTTTTCACCATGTAAGTCATAACATCAACTAGGAATCTGTTTAATTATTGATGCAGAAAAATCTGCCAATGTAAGACAGACATAGAACAAATATGTTCTAATTGTGTTTAAATGTTTAGACTTATAGTGTCCAGAGGTAAACATGCATACACAGAAAGTAAGAAATGTGCATGTTGTGACATTTGGGTGCATACAACCCTGGTTTCTGCACAGGCCAACCAAACTCTTCCACACTCATCTATGTTTTTTCTGGATCTTGCTTCATTCACTAATCTGGTCATGTTGAAACAGGAAGGGGCAACACAAGACTGGCCCCACAAGGTCAGGAGCATTAAATTGACCAAAATGTCTCATTAGACTGAAGCATTAAGAGATTCATTTGACTGGAACTGGGGAGCTGAACGCAACTCCTGAAAAACTGCCCTATACCATAAACCCTTGGCACCAAGCACTTCATGTAATTCAGTCAGTAAAGTAGTGTTGTTCTATGCAACAACAAAATCCAGACTTTGTTTGTTTACCAAAGAGGCATGAACATATCTTCACCTTTAGTATTCACCTTTAGCTCTGTGCTTTACACCACTTCTTTGTGTTGCACTTTGTGATGTAAGGTTTGGATACAGCTGCTTGATCATGGAATATTATTACATGAGGCTGCTTTTACACTCTTATTGAGCTAACCTGAAGGTCACAGGAAATGTGTTGAGTCTCCAGAAAATTGGTGACTTCTACTCACATCGTCTGTATTTAGTTGTAAGAAAATTTCCCATCCTAGCTTATTGCACAGGTGAGATCATTGTCACTATGCCATACTGCATTCATTGAGGTCATAAGAGTAACCCAAACTCTCATAACTGTAGAGACAGTCTGCATCCCAAAGTGCTGATTTTATACCTCACCAGCCATAGATGGAACACCTCAAATTCATTACTTCTGCAACATTGTGTATTTATAGTCTATTGTTACCTTTTTAAACTTATAAGACTGAAAATATTGAGTTGTATTATTATGCTTCTTCCACAAAAGGGTCTAGCCTAAGATAAAGGAAGAACATTGTTCTTTCACAGAAACAAAAATAGTAATGAGACACGAGCTCCCAGATTAATGTTCTGCAACCAGAAGTCATGTGATTAAGAAGTCATTTAAATGTCATTTGAACCTAGACAATGAATGGAAGCTTTTTAACTGCTATTTTTTTTAACGCCTGGGGAAAAATACCTGATATGAGGGATGAGTTTACTATTTGAATCAGACAAGAATCAAAACTTTTTCTAAAAGAAAGCTGTGGATAAAATATCAACACAGCAGCAGGAAGAGCTGAATGGGTGTACAATGTCTTATAAATTTTTGTGGTTGAGCATGCAGATTTCTGTCATTTCCTCCACATTGGTATTGATTGGGCACAGTGGTAATGGGCTTGATATTGATGCACAAATTGAGCCACTCATTTTCAGGGTTTTCTTCATGAAAAAGAATTCACTGTATATGCTGGTGGAGTGTGGTTCAGATACCACAGCCACAGGAGGGCTTGTAAATCTCTTAACCATGACAAGCAAAGCTCAGGTATTATCAATGATTTTGTTAATAATTTCAGAAAAGAAGGATTCTCCTGCACTTTTCAATTGTAAGTTACACTCACCGGCCAGTTTTTTGGTACACCTGTCCAGCTGCTCATTAATGCAAATGTCGAATCAGTCAATCACGTGGCAGAAACTCAATGCATTTAGGCATGCAGACATGGCCAAGACGATCTGCTGCAGTTCAAAGCGAACATCAGAATGAGGAAAAAAGGTGATTTAAGTGACGTTGAACGTGGTGTGGTTGTTGGTGCCAGATGGGCTGGTCTGAGTATTTCAGAAACTGCTGATCTACTGGGATGTTCACACACAACCATCTCTAGAGTTTACAGAAAATGATCTGAAAAAGAGAAAATATCCAGTGAGCGGCAGTTCTGTGAGTGCAAATGCCTTTTTGATGCCAGAGGTCAGAGGAGAATGACCAGACTGATTCGAGCTGACAGAACAGCAACAGTAACTCAAATAACCGCTTGTTGCAACCAATGTATGCAAGACAGCATACATTGCTCTTTTGTTCTTTTACGTCGACGTGTTGTTCGACATACAACATGTCGAACCTTGAGGCGGATGGGCTA